GATGACAGTTGGCAGCTGCAGTCCTCGCAGCAGACGGAACCAAATAAAAGCACTCGGTCCTGTCCCCAAGGGGAGCGACAGGTGTTCGCCCTGCGTCCTTTGTTTCCTCCTCCCACCCCTGCCCCACTCGGGCAGCGCATGTCATATTTTTACTAGCCAAGAAAATGAAATACATCTGTTGTGCGTGTGTGTATGAAAGCAACACCACATACTGGCACAAGCAGAGTGCTTGCTCACAAAGGATAAGAATGAGAGAGAGCGCTGTGTATTCAAGGGAAAGAATGTGCAACTTTACAGGGTTTCAGGCCACCTCTTAACCTTGTCCTATCTTTTAAAGAAATCAGATTTTCCTCTAGTGTCATTTTAATGTGCATTATTTTTATTACTATCAGTCTATCTCCCAAAGGTATGTTAACACAAACTTCGCCCTCGGATTTCAAACAATTAAGCCATTTTATGTTCATTGGAGGTCCAGACTTGTTTCATAAAGATAGACAATTTGTCCAATTAATCCTCTCGGTAGTTTCAGCTTCAGGGGGACTCTGCAGAATTCTCAGACCTAAAGTGCAGATATATTGCAGAATCAATACAGTTTGACACCACTTTTTAACTGCCACATCTTGATGCTATAAAATCATGGGAGTTGTAGTTTCCCAAGATCTTCAGCCTGCTCTGCCAAAGAGTGCTGGTGACTCCAAACTACAAAGCCCAAAGTTCCAAAACACTGAGGCATGGAAGTTAAAGTGGTGTCAAAATACATTGATGCTAATGTTAAGTCTAAGTTCACCCATGAACATATGCTATCACTCATAGCCAAGAGTAGAGTCTTGGCATTGGGTCTGTAAGTGACTATAGAGCAAGCATGGACAAACTTCAGCCCTCCAGGTGTTGTTTTTTTTTCTTTCCTTTTTTTGTGGAACGACATGACATTTTAGACCATAACCTTTTGGGAAATGGAAATCTCCATAATCTTTTGGAAAATAGCATTCATCACCATTTTGGGAAAATCAGGAATCTCCCTGGGAAGAGTTAAAAACTTGCTTGAGTCAACCTTCTCCTTAGTGGTAAATATCCACTAGTATTCATGCAAGGTGATTAGGTTTCTCAATTGTTAAACTGATATATCTAGATATCTCTGAACTGTTAGGGACAAAGATATGTCAATGCACACACACACACACACACATATATATATAGCAAAATTTCAGATGTGTCCTTTCAGTTGCCCAAAATAATCTACCTTCCCTTAAAACATATTGCTTTAAATCATGTTCTCAAGAGACCAAAAATAAGTAGACTTCTATAAAAGTAACATAGTTGGTTTACTCACAAACTTCATGTATTCAGCATACATGTACATTGCTTATCAGTCCAGTTCCAGATAGAATTTGAAGTAGTTTCTCTGTGTAGATAACACTGAGCATCTTTCTCATAATCAAAGGTTCAAAGTCTAAGGCATCTCTCTGGACGGAGAACCTAATAGAGTCTCTGTTTCTAAAGACTTCTAAGCTGTACTGTTTCTATATTGAAAGTCTAATGGCTTCTGCTTCTGATGCCTGAGGATGCCTGTCATAGATGCAGGCACAACGTCAGGAGAGAATGCTTCTAGAACATGGCCATATAGTCCGAAAAACCTACAACAACCAAGCTGCTTCTACTGGCATCTGAAAGCATAGTGTTTCTAAAATGAGGTCTGAGTACTGAACAATCCCAGATCTGATTATCATAGAATCATAGAATCAAAGAGTTGGAAGAGACCTCATGGGCCATCCAGTCCAACCCCCTGCCAAGAAGCAGGAATACTGCATTCAAATCACCCCTGACAGATGGCCATCCAGCCCCTGTTTAAAAGCTTCCAAAGAAGGAGCCTCCACCACACTCCGTGGCAGAGAGTTCCACTGCTGAACGGCTCTCACAGTCAGGAAGTTCTTCCTCATGTTCAGATGGAATCTCCTCTCTTGTGATTACATGGTCTGCAGTCCCTCCCACAACATAGAGTTAAGGAAAACTGCATACCAATACACAAATATACAACACAGTAAGCAATCTGAAATTTATTCATAACAAATAACTAGTGGAGGCTTGAAGAAGGTTGCTATTTCCAACAGTTTTGGACTTCAGCTCCCACAATACCAGCTGTTAGGAATTGTGGGAGTTGAAGTCCAAAACACCTGGAGGGTCAATGTTTGCCCATGCCTTCTGTAGAGAATGGATCCGCATAGTCTGTCACAATAATGCAACCACAGTGTATCAGGAAAGCAAAAACAATTGCTTTGTTTTGCCCCACATTCCTCAGGGTGATCTCTGCCTTGTGGGCATGTGTGAGTCATCATTAGGCCACAATACAGAAGGAAGGGTTATATAAGCAGATGTCCAGAACTACCACATCAGGTGCCAAAGGAATAACCCATTGCCCATGTTTTAAAGAGAATATGGTAGAACCATAGGGTTTGAAGGGGTCTCATGGGCCATCAAGTCTACCTCGCCAATTAAAGCATCCCAGCAGGTAACTCCCCAGCCTCTTTTTGAATCCAGAGAAGGAAAGTCCATCTATGCAATTAATTACATTGCTAAAGTGATCTTACTGTCATGAAGTTCCTTTTAATGTTCAATTGAAATCTATCTTCCTGTGACTTCAAAACATCTGATCCTACTATTTGGAAAAGCAGATAACACACTGTCCTCTCTTCTCTGTGGCAGCCCTTAAGGTATTTATAGAGGGCAATCATGTCATTCCTCATTCTTGTCTTCACTAAGCTGAACAAGCCCAGCTCCTTCATCCTTTCTTCATATGGTTTGTTCTCCGTACATCTTATCATCCTTCTCCAAACCTGCCCCAACTTGTCTATATTCTGAAATGGGACAAGTAGGTCAGAGGTGGGAGAACTGTGGCCCTCTAAAAGATGTTGGACAATGGCTGTTGCTACACTGTAAAATTAATGCAGTTTGACACCACTTTAACTGGTATGGCTCAATGCTATGGAATCATAGGAGCTGTGGTTTGATGATGCACCAGTAGTCTTTTGGCAGAAAAGGCTAAAGAGCTTGTAAAAGTACAACTACTGTTCCTTAACATTAAGTCATGACAGTTAAAAAGGTGTCAAACTGCATTAATTCTACTGTATACGATAGAGGCACATAATGTCCCAGACCGACATGACCTATTGGAGTAACTGATGTTGTAGTTATAGTTGATGTTATAGTTTGGTAGACTATAATCCAAGAGAGTGGGTCGCCCCCAAAAAAGTGAAGCCCCATTTACCATAGTGCATTGAAGTGTTGAACACAACATTCTTGGCAATGTATATTTTTACTATGTAAGGTGTGCATGCAGTATGAAAACAACATCATACACAGCAGTGCCTACAACAGAAGAAAGTATTTGCTAAGAGGGGTTTAGGCCACCTTTTAATACTGGCCTAAAATATTTTGAAATAATACTTTCATCTTTCTTAATGTATCTTAATGCCCTGCACTACTATCTTTTGAATACAAGGATAATATTAATCTACATTGTGACACTGGGTGATACAACATTCCTATTTGGGGAGTTTTCTTTTTAGTTGTTGACTGTTTGCAACCACAGTATAGCGGACCTAGGGCTTCCAAGGTCAAAACCCTGGCTCTTTTAAAAAAGTTATTAGGGGTGAATGTGATGTTGCCTGCTCACAATTTCCCACACTAGTTGGAGAAGAAATGATTTTTTCCCCCAACAATAAAGTATAGTGAGCTAATCCTGTTACGACCTAAGGTATTGGGAGTGGCTTTAACTTGAATGAGCAAGATCCATTAGCTTTATAAAATGCCTGCTACTAAAGAGAGAAACACTGAAGTAGTGTTGTTGTTGTTGTTGTTACATAAATCAATGCAGCCACCCGCATTTTAAAACTGCATGACAGAGGTCAAGGCACAGTAGATTTGCACTTCAAATGTAGATTTGCACTTCAAAATTTGCTACTTCATCCACTGGTTCTGAAAAAAACCCACCCATATACATTGTCTTTACTAACTACAGAATCAGAAGGGTCCATAAAGGTTCAACTAGTCCAATTCCTTACTATGCAAGAATACATGACTAAGGCCCCTTCTACACTGCCATATAATCCAGATTGTCAAAGCAAATAATCCACATTATCTGCTTTGAACTGGGTTATTTGAGTCTACATTGCCATATAATCCAGTTCAAATCAGATAATCTGGGTTTTATATGATAGTGTAGAAGGTACCTAAAGCACTACTGAAAGATGGCCACTCAAGCTCTGTTTAAAGATCTCCAAAGAAGGAGTCCACCACATCTGGGGGCACTTCTTCACATGCCCTAAAATTTGGAAGTTACTGGGTTAAAAGGGAGGTGGCTAAATGACACTAGCGGTAAATACATTCTGATTTGCAGCAACAGATAAAAACGTGTTTAAAAGGTCCATTTATATCCCGATTCTAGCTCAAAAATGTGCATATTCTTATTACTATATATCTCTGAACTCTGAAAATCATGTGTTTTTCTTCATAGACTGCTTTTAAAAAGCCCAAAAGCTCATCAGCTGATTGGGCTCTTAATGGACACACAGGTGGCTCAAGGGAATCACAAGTAGAAAGCTATTAGAACTCTCTGAAACTCTTTTATGCGCTGGACCTCATATGCGCCTATGCGAATCTGCTTATATTTATATTAAGATATTTGAATGTGTGCATATACAGTCCAATGCATAACAGTGATTTAAAAAAATCTTCTGCCAAATGTCCCCTGTCTGCCCTCCATCTTGTTCCGATAAACCTTTAAGGATGGCGGGGGACCCAACACTGGGACTAACATGTCTGTATGGGGACCTGCTGTCAGTTCCCGGTATTTTTTACCCTCCATTTAAAATGCAAATTTTGCCACTGTCTGGAAGTGCCCTGAGCCATCTATTCTACTGTTAAACAGGTTTTACAGTCAAGAAGTTCTTCCTAATGTTTTCTTTTCCATCTTTTGGTTTGTGTTCTAGCCTGTGGAGCAACAAAAAAAAAACAAGCTCTCTTCATCTTCTATACCACACCCTTTCAGGTATCTAAACATAGCTATCAGATCACCTCTCAATCCTCTCTTCTATATTTTGAAATATCAAGCAATGGGATTGGCTCTCTACTGGTTACAGGTCTAGCCCTGTTTTTATGCAAAGTGAAGTGACTGCTACAGATAGCAAAATTTTGGAGGCAATAAGATAGCTCTTAGCATCCAATCTATTCTTCTCTCATGGAGAGGAGATGATAGATGTTGCCTCAGGTACAGCAAAGAACGCTTCCCCTTTGCTAGTGTTGAAATAATACCCAGCTCTCACTCCTTGGACTGTGTAGGTGAAATGCAAGGGAGAGCACCAATTTATTTGTGGCCTCGAGCAGAAAATTGTCTTGAAGCAACCTTGACTTAATATGCATATACATACACACAAACACACACAGCTAAAACAAAAGGAAAGTGAGATGTGAAATGCAGTTTCAGCTTATGTGCCCATTGAGCGCAATACACATCACAGTCAACCATCACTGGAATTCCAAATGATGTGAAATAGAAGTCTGGGCGTAGAAATTTCTTTTTTGTCTCTGTTATTGGTTTACATCTTAGAGCATCATTGTCCATAATCAATCCATACTTATGAAGATCATTGCATTAGAGTAAATTGCGAGCTCCCCTTCTCCCCTTTCGGTTTTGTGCTTTGAAACCTGAATCCCATTAGATAGAAGCCACTGTGTCTTCATATTTCTAGACACAATCATGGCATCACATATTCAACTTCATCTCCATGTCCAATTATTATGTAATTGGTACATTCCAGTCTGGTACAGAAGCAGTTCTTTGGAAGCGGGTCAGCCCTTGCCACAGGCTGGTTCATGGGTGTGCTGTAGATCAGATGCTCCCCGATCTGTCTGCTGCTTTTGACACCGAACACCACGGTTGTCCTTGGAATGTTTGGAACAGATGGCAGAACTGTCTGGAGCTGCTCTGCCTTCATTCATATATTATCTTGCGAGTAGCTGCTAATTTGCTAGTTAAACATTCCATTCTTCCAAGTAGGCTTCCCTCTAGGAGGAATTGGCTCTGCTTTTTAGGGTCTCTGCAACTCGTATTTCTTTTGCTGTTCTAGTTTATTTGGAGCTGGAGAGGATTAATTTTCCACCCAGGCTCAAAATCGTATTAGTTGAGCATTGTTAGATCTCTCTGTAAAGCTAATTATTTACTTTTTTTCTACCTGTAGGAGAATGGATAAAAAGGACAACACTGTGATTTCATATAATCCCAAGCAGTGCAATTTTTCTTTGCAGCACTGGAGTCTCATAGAACTTTAGGATATTTGTTTATTTACAAATATGTTTTAAAATATAAACTTTGAGAAATATTGTTCATATTTAAAACACAACCTTTTTTCTATGTTGACATTTCACAGTATAAAGTCACATTTTTCTGTCACTGGATTGCAGGATGGAAGAGAAGATGTGGCATTCTCTGCTTTGATAGTGCTGGCTTTGTTTTTGAGGTGGGAGAAGGCATTGAAACTGGACAAGTATTAATTGATTGTTCAGTAAAACAACTAAAATAAAAACCCTTTACATTGTTTTACTTTTTTGTGTGTCAGGTGCGACTTGAGAAACTGCAAGTCGCTTCTGGTGTGAGAGAATTGGTCATCTGCAAAAATGCTGCCCAGGGCATGTCTGGATGTTTTACCATCCTGTGAGAGGCTTCTCTCATGTCCCCACATGGGAAGCTGGAGCTGACAGACAGGAGCTCACCCCATCTTGCGGATTTGAACCACCAAGCTTGATGTCAGCAGTTCAACCAGTACAAGGGTTTAACCCATTGCACTACCATGGCTCTTATTTCCTAGAAACAATGAAACAGAAAGAAAGGCAAAGGTTTCCCCTTCTGGCTCTGAGGGGTGGTGAGCATCTCAATTTCTAAGCTGAAGAGTCTGCATTGTCCATAGACATCTCCTAGGTCATGTGGCCGGCTGGAGCTGACAGATGGAAGCTCATCCTGCTCCCCAGATTCAAACCGCCAACCTTTTGATCAGCAGTCCTGCCGGCACAAGGGTCTAACCCATTGTATCTCATGCTCTGATCTTTATATTATGGAGCAGGATGAAAATAGCTTAATAAATGAATGGTTGAGATTCAACCAAATTAACTGTCAGGTCTTGTTTGTACAAAGAGTAAGATGATTTTTACATTCTGTGTTGTGGCCGGCCCTGCAATATTAACCAAGGCCATTCCTACCATTTGGCAGATTGAGGTGGCAGCCTTGAGTAGTGGATGCTGAGAAACTGGGGGCCAGTAGCCAGATGTTGGAGGACAGGGACATGTCTCTCCTTTGCTCCTTAAGCTTTTTGGTATCCTTATTGTCAGCCAGCCAATCTTAAAGACCCAGCTTTCAATCTATCAGCTTCTTTATAGTCTTGGAGGTATCATGTCCACTTTAGGCAGCAAAATGTTTGGGGTTTTAGCAGTGCAAACTAATGTGATCTTGCTGGTTTTTAGAAAGAATATTATATGATTCTATTGTTAATAGTCCGCTGACTGTTATTCAGATAATGAATGCCAGCAGGCAATAAGCCTGTATCACTCCAATGGTTTCCAGATGTTTGGGATTCAACTTTTAAATCTAGATAACATGACCAATGGTCAGGGATGATGGGAGCTGTAACACTTGGAAGCCATCCTTGGTAATTGGTGCTGTTATATCCCAGTGGTTTATGGGAGAGAGGTAATTCTAAAACTGCTACAAAGGAACATATCAAGGAACATGAAAGGCACTGCAGGCTACTTCAGCCTGAGAAGTCAGCTATAGAAGAGCACCTGGTGAACCAACCTGGACATAGCCATATAGCCCAAAAAACCTACAACAACCCACTGGTACAAAAAAAAATTACAGGTGAAAGATTAACCTTGATCACTATTCCCTCCCCTTCTTCCTTCTCTTAGGAATGCGATCCATCAACACACAGTGATCAGTGTGCTAGGAAAAATTCCTCTGGACTAACATTTTGCTTTGCTTTGCTCCTTTTTTTAATAGCAGAGATTGCAATCATTTAGATTGCAACATGATTGGTAAAATGCCAGCTTTTGCAGATTTCAGTTCCTTCAAGGCCCATGGAAGGATGATAATGCTTCACATTTGCAAAGTAAAGACAACCTCTTGTTTTTTCTATCAATGTTTTCAAGTATCTTTTTTAAAATTGGTGTCCTGTATAATTCACAAAGTATGTTTTCTTCTCCAAATATTGACAAAATATATTCATGCGAAAAAAAATACTATCTTCAAATTATCTCCCATTGTTAGTTGTTTTTCAAGGAAAGAAGCAAAACTGTGGCAACGTCAAGGTGTGGATTTTTGAGGATAATTTCTGCTGCTAGTAGAAAAAACAGTTGCTTTATTTGTAGAGTGAAATATGCTTTATTTCCCTTTAATGATAAATGTTAAGAAATCATTTCCCAGAACCAGTTGTTGGTCATTTAATAAAACAGCTTTATGGGAAAATCTGATATGCCGCTCATGTCATTAATGCTGGACAGATACCCAAGGGAAATCTATTACAAGACCTTTCACACTACACAGTTATAGCACTATAATTTGGCTTTAACTGCCTTGGAGGCATCATAAGCAATCCTGAGGTTTGTTGTTTGGAAAAGCACTAGAATTCTCTAGGTATTTATTTTTATTTATCATATCAGAAGCGAACCAAGGCTACAGTTGTAATGTATTTTAAAAAAACACAAAGTTTAAAAACTTGGCATTTTATTAAATGTCTTTTGACCAGTAGCTGGCCACTTGTGGTTCCTCTGGTGTTGCTATAAGAAGGTCCTCCATTATGCAAGTGGCAGGGCTCAGGCTGCATTGTGAAAGGTTAGCTCTTCTCCACACTTGCGTGTTGTGGACTCCACTTTGTGGCCCCATTTCTTAAGATTGGCTCTGCATCTTTTGGTGCCAGAGCGCAGTCTGTTCAGCGCCGACCAAGTCGTCCAGTCTTCTGTGTGCCCAGTGGGGAGTATCTCATTTGGTATCAGCCATGGCTTGAGGTTCTGGGTTTTAGTCTGCCACTTTTGGACTCTCACTTGCTGAGGTGTTCTTGCGAGTATCACAAGACAACTATTTCTTGATTTAAGGCGCTGGCATGATGCCTGATATCCGAAGAGGGGATGGGGCAGAGATGTCGCTGACTTCGTCCTTTCATTATTGGCTGCTACTTCCCAACAGATGTCAGGTGGTGCAATACCGGCTAAACAGTATAATTTCTCCAGTGGTGTAGCATGCAGACATCCTGTGACAACGTGGCATGTCTCATTAAGAGCCACATCCACTGTTTTAGCATGGAGAGATGTGTTCTACACTGGGCATGCATACTCAGCAGCAGAGTAGCAAAGCACAAGAGCTGATGTCTTCACTATCTGGTTATGATCCGCAAGTTGTGCCAGTCAGCTTTCATATTATATTGTTTAGAGCACCCACTTTTTTCTTGATATTAAAGCAGTGCTTCTTATAAGTCAGAGCACAGTCCAGAGCGACTCCCAGGTATTTGAGTGTGTTGCAATGCTCTGGTGGGATTCTTTCCCAAGTAATCCTTAAAGCTCAAGATGCTTGTCTGTTCTTAAGATGAAAAGCACATGTCTGTGTTTTAGATGGGTTAGGAATCAGCTGTTTTTCCCTGTAACAGGCAGTAAGAGCACCTAAAGCTTCTCCAAACTCTCTAGGTGATCAATCTAAATATATCTACCATACAAAGAGGAGGAATCATCATGCTATCATTATGTATTGTGAAAAGATGCTAATGTTAGTGGATTCCCTGCACACATCCATCACTGTTAGCTACATTAGCTAGGGCTGATGGGAGCTCAGATTCAGCAGAGTTTGGAAAGTTACTTTATGGAGTACGGCTCTTAGCACTTCCTTGTCAGCAGGGATTCTGATAGCTGTAGTTCCAAAAGTAACTTCTCTAGCTGTGTAGTTCAATTATTTATTTATTTACAGTATTTATATACCATTTTTCTCACCCCTGGGGGGGGATGGATATAGTTCAACAACATTTGTCTACCTCTTGCTTAAAGAAGGATGTCTGTATAAGTAACAATGATCATAGCTAAATAATGGGGTTGAAAGTTACAAAAATATGCCAGAAGTTTGTAAATGGACTGAACTTCTTTTTAATTAGATGGGAGTATTGAGGTGTTAATATAATAATAGTAATAATAATAATAATAATAATAATTAAAAAACTTTTTTTGTATACTGCCCTATCTCCCCAAAGGGACTCAGGGCAGTTTCCAACATGTAAGGCAAATATTTAATTGCTGGAAAGAAACCATACAATTACATCAAGATATACATTAGAACAAAGTGAATAAGAGGAACAGGTTGAAATATCTGGCAGAAGGGGAAGCTTCTGGAGTCAGGATACAGATGTTGCCTGAGGCACCATGCACACCTAAATTCAATGCTAACCAGTGGTGCCATTCAGCCAGTTCACACTGGATCACACAAACAATTTGTCAAATGACCTTTGGTCAGACACATGATGGAGCTTAAGGAAATGGCAGAGAGAGGGAGCTCGGAGCCCTTGAAGTACAGCACGCAGGTATGCAGGCTTGGCCTTGAGGCCTTTACGCAAACTTGAGGTGTGTTGAATCTTTGTTATGTTGAGCAGCTTCTCTTGAAATTGAGGTAGGTATGGGGAATTCTGACACTCAGGTATAGTTTGGTGAGGCACCAGTACATTTTGGTGGAGAAAGAAAAAGACCTTGTAAAACTACAATTCCCATAATTTGATAGCACTAAGTTAAAGTGGTGTCAGACTGCATTAATGTTACAGTTTAGATGCATACTGTTCAAATGAAGTGGGCAGATCTTCAGAGTGAAGACTTTATGAAGTGTGACTTTATAGAGGACTGTTGCCTGAGAGCCACATACACCATATCCTTATCATTTTTACAGTGCAGGGAAACCCAACTGAACATCATTTACACTTTTAACTGAATTCCTCACTTTTACTTGCAAGTGAGACTTTTCTATTCTTTATCTTTCACTCTTGTGGCATCACTGAAAACAAAAAGAAAAAAGGGAGTTGCATTTAGGGGGTGCTAGGAGCCCCCAGTGGCACAGTGGGTTAAACCGCTGAGCTGCTCAACTTTCTGACCAAAAAGTCATAGGTTCGAATCCAGGGAGCGGCATGAGCTCCCGCAGTTAGCCCCAGCTTCTGCCAACCTACAGTTCAAAAATATGCAAATGTGAGTAGATCAATAGGTACCGCTCCAGCGGGAAGGTAGCGGTGCTCCATGCAGCCATGCCAGCCACATGGCCTTGGAGGTGTCTACGGACAATGCTGGCTCTTCAGCTTAAAAATGGAGATGAGCACCAACCTGCAGAGTTGAACACGACTGAACTTAATGTCAGGGGAAAACCTGTATCTTAACCTAGGAGTGGGAAAGTGTAGCCCTCTTTATGTTGTTGAATTGCAATCTCCATCAATCCCAGCCAACAGTGACAATGATTAAGACAATCCAATCTAATGATGTCCTTGGGGGCCACAAGGTCCCATTCCCTAGCATTATGCAAAATAGGTGCGTATGTGA